ATATTATAAATGCGAAAGTAACTCTGTCTGTCTGTCTGTCTGTCTGTCTGTCTGTCTGTCTGTCTGTTACGCTTTCCCGCTTAAACCTCGCAACCGATTTTGATGAAATTTGGCATAGAGATAGTTTGAGTCCCGGGAAAGAACATAGGATAGTTTTTATCCCGGTTTTTGAAACAAGGACGCGCGCGATAAAGTTTTTCTGTGACAGACAAAATTCCACGCGGGCGAAGCCGCGGGCGGAAAGCTAGTCTATTTATAACTCGTAAAATAATGATTCGCGCGTATATTGCCGCCCGGCAATACGGCATGAGAAGGATTTATAAACTAAACGGTCTGTGTTAGGTACTCACCCACCTATTTAGTTAGAACGAAGTTTGATTATTAAGATAACACACTCAATATAAAGCTAAACTCAAAAATTGATCAATTTTAATTGGTTTAAAATATTGCAATTCAATCAATCAAAGGCTTGAACTCTTGAGTTGGAATAGTACTAAGTTTCGTTCCACATTACGCACCTTACAATAGACTGAAAACGCATGCTATATTCTACACATCCATCACAACGTTCTTGCATACCGTGTACACCGCACCCTACACAAGCAGGGCCTGATATTCGCCTCGTGTTATATGACCGGCCAGTTTTTGCCGTACACCCTATTCATTAGCCGTCGCCGCTGTACATGTCCGTATTAATTACAGGATGCCCCTGACGGACACACGCTGTACACGCGGATTCAGGATCTCTTGTTGCTCGAAAGTTCAAAGCGTGTCCGATGTCTCTAGAGATTTTACTATTTTGGAAATAACTTTTTTCGCAATATCCTGGTACCTGATACGTAGTTTTGTGTAACAGGGATTAATCAGGCTTAGCTTAGATCAATAAGATTAAAAATTGTTCAACGTATTTTAATTTATCAACTTCTATTATCTATAGCATGAGATTTAATTTTATCATTTTGAAGCAACCTGTGTCGTTAGAGTTATTACTAACTTACTTCCTCCTTTCTTTCTTACTTTACTAAATATTAACTGCAACATAATCAGTTCACTGCTAGATATTGGCCTTCTCCAAAGATCACCCCGACGTACGGTATGTTTGCATAAAGCAACTTGCCGTAAACCTAACTAAGAAGGCCTAACAACGCATCTTACAGTTCGTGCAAAGGCCCCTCGAGATGCTCTATAATCCCTGACGTATGCCAGTTCTGCGTACTTTAAGACCTATTGCCACTTCAGCTTACAGCTATCTGCTACATCTTAAATCACCACAGAAATTCAAGTTAGGTCCAAGCAGCTCTGAATGACTATTTCTAGTTGATTTGGAAAATCTGCTTACTCGTAAACGACTTGTGAAACAACACTGGATACGCGATAAATTCAAGCACGTCAAAATTATTTAGCTAATATTGCATCTTTGCTTAAGACCAGCATCAAATCAAGCACGTTAGAAATTATTCGGCATCTTTGAGTTGGGCATCGATTCATATACGTGCTCAAGTCTTCAAATAGTGAGCTATAAAACAATGTACACATATCTAAAGGCTGAGTTGCACTACCTTATTTTAACAATAACAATTACTTTATCCGGTGCTTTTTGTATGGAGTTTGACAGATTTTTTACGTTTGTCAAAGTGGTGCAACTCAGCCTAATAGAAGCACCAAAGCCACTGAAATACTAATCACTTGATTGCGCCGCATCAGGCGGACGACCACACTCGGTCGCGGCCTGATTACACTGGTTTATAATTGCTACCCTTACAAATGAGCCAACTGCCAATTCGTCGATGTTTTCAGTTGATCGTTCATTAATTTGAGTATATTGTGTCAGTTTCGACATTTCCCTGATTAAATCGGAGTTCATCTGCTTTGTCTGCAATAAGTGCTTGTTCGTTTAGCGTAATGGTAGTGATTTTGATTGTATCGATCATGCAGCTTTTGACGTTGCAATGCTGATAAATTGTTGATTCTTTTTGAAAGTGCACCAAACGAAATATTCAGGATTTGTGAAATGGGAACGTTTTAGTGAAAGATCTTGATTTGGTTATGTTCTAATTACATACATTTGATGGTTTTGTACGTAATTCAGTCACATGTAGCCTCCATGGATAGTGTTTTAGATACTTGAACTCTCTCAGCTCAGAGGTGTTAATCTCGATTAAAAACATCATTTAAAAAAGTATTCCCAGTTGAGATACCGTTATAGAATTTTTAAATCATATCGTTGAACCATTTATGATATTAATGGATTAAGAGGGTTATCACTTCAATCAACTACTTAAATATTAAGGGAAAAGAAAAATTCAAAACAATGCTACACTCTACCCTTCGTTTGAACGGATTTACAAAAGACTAATATTTTACGTAAGCCCCTAGACTCTAAAAGAGAAATTAGATCGACCTATTTTAATCTAAAAGGATAAAGTTCGTTAATCTCGCCCTAAAAACCTAAATTTCCTTTTATAATGAAGATAATTCTTAATAAGAAACATATTGAAGCATTTACTCATCACATTTCCCTTGCCCAACAAAATTTAATCATGCGAGGCAACCCTAAAAACTTCATTTCAACTATTTTCCGCTACTTGCAAATTGAAATAATTCACCATGGTTCACTGCATAACTTTGAAGCGTAACTTATGAGTGGTCAGTGTAGCCATAGTGTAAAGAACTGCATTCCCGGGAAGGAATGCTGAATGCTTTGTTAAGTTGTAAGCGAGCTCTTGCGCATTACTAGGGTAATTTAGATTTAGAAAGTTGGTGTAATTTTATACTGAAAAGAATTTACTTGGAATGTTCATAGCTATTCTGGCTAGACCTACCTAACAACAAAGCGAGATATTTAATCAAAACAACTAAGTATTAGGTATTAGTAAAAAAAATCGTGTCAAAAAAATTCTTCGTCACCAATGTTCTGTGCTTACCTAAAACGAAAAATTCGAATTGAAAAAGATGAATAACGAAAAAAGGTAAGGCGTGTACAGCACTACTGCAGCTAAAAAGGAAATGTATGCGCGTACAAGTGATTTATTTACAACTTCCGATGGCGATCGTATTGTAATCGGGTTTCCGCGATTAAATTCCGACTAACGTGTGATTGTACACATAGCTAAAGCTATACATAGATTACTATAGAGAGAGTATAGTTGGATTGGACACCAAATCAGCGCAAAAAATTTTGGCAATTCCTTTGAAAAAATTTATAGAGACTCTTCTGACTAATCTAACCAAACTGTTTCATTTAAACAATGTTTATATGTATTTCTTTTTGTCTCAAAAATACTTCACAGAATCAATTTCCTTTTATAATAATCAGGGATTCAGACACGTTGTATATCTGACACATTCATAATCAATTCTCACTAAAAGCACCCCAAAAAGAGTGCAAACATTGGTCACGCTCCAAAATACGTAACGGGAAATTGTATGGTATTTATAAAAAAAAGTCCACCATTAGCAAAACGCGGACCGTAATGCACATTATATTTCATAGCAACGAGAGGCCAAAAGACACCACTGTATCCATTTGTGATAATATGTAGCGTGGCGACCGCTCCGATGATGTAGAGATCTGCTAGATATGACATGTGAGAACGAGACGTCACTCTGACAGTCAAAGACCCAGTGATAGTTCAATAGTAGAAACTTTGGGTATCTATTTGACAATAGATATTAATACCCAGATCAGTACTATGTGCTCATGAAGATAAGTTTGTTTGCATTCATGAAAGAATGGAACCTGCAATCTATGAAATTACTATTCCACTGAACTACTATTCAGTAAGTGAACTAATAGAACAGAGGGCTTTATGTGAGTTTACATGAAACGTCATCACTAGCGAGCGCGTTAAAAATATGTATGAAGATTTTAGTTCTTGAAAGTTTTCACCAGGGGCGCTGTACAATCCGTCATACATTTAATGTCCAGTGCCGTAACTAGCCTTTTATGCGCCCGGTGCGAGCTTTCAAAACTGCGCCCTTGAAAAATGCTTGGTCTGGTCATTTCTGCGCCCCTCCAGGGTCTGCGCCCTGTGCCTGGGCACCGCTGGCACCGCCCTAGTTACGGCACTGTTAATGTCACTTTTTTACGCAGTCACTAGTGTAGACGTTTGATGTAAACTCACATAAAGCCCTCTGTTCTATTAGTTCACACTAAGCCCACAGGTGACAATGCACAAGTCAAGGCAATTGGTCAGCACTGACGTGTGCACGCAGCATGTCATCAGCGCATTTAATAAATAAATAATAAAATAGGCATACAATTTTAAAAATATATAATCTAGCTCTGTCAAAAGAAACCTACTTACTACTCGTACCTTATCTTTTATTAAATCTGTTACTAATCAACAGTAGCTGGGACTAATAAGTCAGTTCCATACATTTAAGTCATTGTCCCGCTCGCAGCTCAGGGCATCCGCGCGGCGTATCCCGAGAGCGAATCTTTGATATCAAATTCTTTTAGAACCGACCGCACGTAGCCAACCCCGCATTCACTCATATTTTAGATAACGTTCGACTGTTCCTACGCTCCGCAAACGGAATGTGAATAAAAATACGAATATTTGCACATTTACCACTCGGAGATACTACAATTTATTGTGCAAAGAACTTTTGTCTGTCCAACGTTGCATTCGATTGTTGACAAAGGGAATACCTGTCGTCTGTTTGTACACGTAATTTCACGTGAAAAACTACTAACTGTAAATATCAAACACCAAAAAATATAACCAGACTAAACGAAAGTAAAAAAAGAAAGGCACAACCATTATTTCCTTTCAACTTCCTGAAAGAGTGTTTGTGTTCGGCAACTTGTAGAATCAAGGTGATTTTTGATTTTACAACAAGTATAAGTATTACCTGAACCACCTAACGTACTATATTGGATCAGAACATATTTTATTCGCTTCACAAAAAAAAAACATTCAAGCAGTAACAGATAAATAAACAGTGATATTTTTACTCGTATAGCTGATCATCTAAATTATTTTTGTATTTTACAGGTAACCAGAAGGGTATGCATAATCGACATACGCGATAACCCAAGATGCGAAGATCAAGGCGAGCGACGAAACTGCGGAGTGGCGATAGATGGCAGCACAGAGCAGTGACGCGCTGAAACAAAATGGCGGCGGGTGCGCACACGCGAGGAGGCGGACCTCTCGCTCGACTTCTAGTTTTGGCCATATTACACGTCAATTTTCTCGGTAAGTTGGTTTTTCGTTTTTTTTTATTTATTTAAAAATATAGTATATGAAATACATAAGAAACCAGTCAAAGTAATGAAAACAAGAATAGGTTAATTGTTTAAATAAACCTTCATTTCTCGGTTGCAAACCATCATCTCCGTACTTGCAATGAAAATCTAAAGATGCTCTATGAACCAATGGTATTAAAAGGAGATAAAAGCAAAATATGCATTTATGACAGATGGAAATCACGCTCTTTGGTGCTCTTTGAAGTATACTTCCAGTAGTAGACTGTGATTAGCTGAACATAATAATGATCATGAAATATTATGACCTAGTCACCAATTTACCCAAAACAACAGATAATTCATTTCATTGCAGGTAGGTCGTTAACGTAAAATTAGGTAAAACGGGTATGAGGCATCTGTTTGCCTAGGACGGTACGCTCAGCGAACAACAGACCGCACATTCAAAACATTTGGCCAACCCTGTTTTGTTTCGCAGTCGCTCTCATTTCATGAAGTGCAAGCTTTTGCTACGCCCGCACGAATACGTTTTTCATGACACTAAACTATCCGTACCTAGTCTACAGTGTTGGCAAACATAAATGCAGCCATATTAATTTTACGTTTTAAAACGCCACGCAGATTTTTATTCTATTTACAGTCGTAGTAACTTTTTTTTACTTAGGTTTACATGTAAGCTAAGAGGTATAAATTGTTGTTTGAGTTATCGTGCATTATTTCTTAAGTACCAGCCAAGCAGTTTAAATCGAGTCTACAACGTCGTTATAATAAAATTTAAAATCAAACCCTGAACCAGACTGGACCTGTGAAATGAAATTAAGAAAGTCAATATTTCTAACCAACAAACAACATTTTCAACACATATAAACGATAATGTAATAAAAGTACTTTTGTCACTTATAAAAGCTTAATAAGATTTTCCTCATAAAATCAATACGACGATTACTCTTACACACATTTTTATTTTTCTACAATCAATCAACATCAAACAGAATTTTCCTGTAGGTAAATTCGTAATCGCAGAATGGATGAAAGCTGTACCTATAGATAAAAATGTACCAAAAAAATTATAACTTGAAAGAGACATTTGCAAATGGATTTCCCGTCGCATTCGAAACGATTCATTCTATGTTGATAAAAATATAAAGCAGCGAAGAGTAACATGGATAACCCTTTCACTGCTCAAAGCGGCTGTGTCTCTGTTGAAAAACGGGCCACGGGTCAAAATGTCACCGCGTACGGTGAAACACGCACGGGCGCCCGTTGGGAGGGTTAAAATGGGCTAGTTGTATGCAAAATAAAGGAAGTTAACAAAGGTGAAGGTTGGACATTTTGAAAACAGCATCTATTTATTAATACTAATTAAAATATGTAGGTTTGTTTATGAAGTAATTAATGGAACTAGATTGACGTAAAAACATTCTTGTGATATTTATAAGCGATGCAAAATTTCTGAATATCAACTATTGCCTAGAAATAGGTACTTATAATAATATATTGTTTGAAATCGCAAAAATAGTAAAATATTGATATTTTTATCTGTGAAGCTCAAGTAAATTTAAAAAACCTACCTTTAGCAGTTTTGTTGCTGAAAACGTTTCAAATGGGCGAGTCACGCACGTAAAATGACCACTTCATTCGCCTAAACAATGAATTTTTCAGAGTTAAAAGTAGATTCGTTTAATCGAGAATGTTCTTTTTATTTTGCTGCAAAATAACCAAAAATTTTATGAAATAATTATGTTTATTTATATTTTACAAATTCAGTAAGTAGACACTATTCGAGGAAACTACCTCTGAATGCCGTTCGATATGGAAAACTGCGTAGCCTGTAGACGCATAAATTACGTAGATAATGTGTCTCACATTTATGGTAACTGCAAGTAGTGAATACAACTTTTAAAATCTGAATAAAAATTATAAATAGGTAGGTATACATTTGTTTAACGAATGCATCCCCATTTAAAACAATATAGAGCAAAAGAAAGCTGTATTGTTATATGGTTTGATAGTTTTTAATAACATTTTCTTTGTAATAAAACAAGCAGAGCCACTGTGAAAAGCTAGTTGATAATAAAACAAAACATTTTTATGAGAGTATCCATCGGCGCGAATAGGCCAGCCGTCAGCGCCGCGCTGCGTCAAACATGACATATTGCGTCGTTATGTCCCTCGCCCACTTTGACAACCGTTGTCAGTTGAATGATCCGGAAAAATAATGAAAATCGCAATTTAATTACTGAAGTTTAAACCTGTCGTAAAGTGCGATGGTACGGGAAACTCCGACTGGTCTTGTTTTTTGTATCTCATAAAAATAATGACATGTTAACTTTGTGAACACAATTTTAATGTTAAGGCTTTTAGTTATATTCGAATATTAGTAAGGTTTTGTTGTAATCACTAATGAATAAGTAGCCCCTTTAGGCTGAGTTGCACCATCCTACTTTAACCACAACTTTAACGTAGACAAACGTCAAAAATCCATACAAAAAGCACCGGTTATTGTTATTGTAACGGCTAAAATAAAGTGGTGCAAATCAGCCTTAATGTATGAGTCACTTTCAGCGGTTCTTATGAAGTTTCATTTTACTCTTATCATTATTACATTCCGTTCAACTATCTCAAGCACTCACGGCACGGAGCACTTAGGCTGAGAACCCACGTGCGCCCGCCACAATGAAATTAATCACGGCTTAAAATTTTCAGTTGCTACCTTATCTCGTATTGTCGTTTTATTGTGCTAGCCCTGGAACCATTAGCGAAATGTCACAGGAGCATTGTAATCGCGCCCGCGGCCCGAACATTGTGCGGCTGCGACCCCCGTGTATAACCCGCTTATGTTTGCGTCGTTGTACAGACAGCACTTCAAGCTCAACTTAAAGCCATCTTATGCAGTTGTGATAGGGTTGATTTTGCTACAAAAATGTATAGTGTGATGAGGTGTTTTGCTGTACGGACGTATTTGCAAATTTATAACAACTACCTTGTGCATGTTTCTTTGTTTGCGTGGATTTAGGCTCGCACTATGTAACGCTTTAAACTCGGTTCAAATTCGAGCGTGAATTCGATTGGTTGAATTTTTTAGTTAGACAATGAAACATGAGACTATTCTGAAGTGCAAACAATTAGTTTACAGTTTAGCGGCGTTTTAGTTAGTGGCCATGGAGTTTCTCAAAGATGTTAGGAGGATGTATAGAGAGACGTCTTCATTTATTGACTTCTGCAGCGTATTGCTTTTTGTTATTTAAGTAACTTAAAAACCAACTTTTAACAGAACAGCACTGACTCCAATCCTTTTTTAAGTAGCAAAACAACTGCAATATTTCAAACTATTCGCAGTTTGGTAACTTATTAATAATTTAATTAGGTACTTTGACATGTTGGCACAATGGTTATGTAATTATACAACTTAATTACACATGATTATATAATAGCTCAAAACTTTTGCAAACAAACGCTTTGTGTGAGTTTAATTTTCCAACCTAGTTTGTCGGTTTTGCAAACGTATATTTTTCCATACAGTATTTTCTTTTGAAATATTGCTAGAGCTTGAACTAGTTAAACGCGGCAAAAATAGAGACAGATAAATAGTACAATATTTAAAGCATGGAAAAAGAAAAGTTGTTTAACTTTAGTGATGTTTAGTAAAGAAATGTAATTTTAAAATAACATCAAATAATAAGAATAAAAACTAATGTAAAAATAACTATCTAAAACTGATACTCTTAAAATAGTTCGAAGACTAACTTTAGGAACTCTGATGTAACGCACATAAGAAAGAACACCTCAGTGACATTCTCTGCAAATTGTAAGCACTCAGCTCCATAATATTGTTCTTACCAACTATAAGCGGCGACGAATTTGCGGGTAGGGTTACCAACCATTTCAATTCATCCGGACATTTCTTGAATTTTGGCCATGCATTGAAACTCTATTTACAGTATTTCAATTTGTTTAGATCACACGTTCGTTCAAAACATCGCGATGTTCTTTCATTTTATTCATTCTCACGAGAAAAGATTGATGATTCTCCATGCTATACTTATCCTTATTACTATTTACGAGTTTTATTCCTACGACAAAATGTAAGGTTATGGCATTTTCCAAGTTAAATCTTGTAGGTATTTCTTGATCCCTAAATTCATCCATCTCTGATTAGTATTTCAAGCGAGAAAAGGTAACAGACAGACTCACTTTCGTATTTTAAATACTATTTAAATACTTATTTCTGATTTTAAATGCCTATATTGAACTTTGGTCCAGTATCAAAAAATTTTCAGGACTTTCCACGTCCCATCTGGTGACTCTATCCGCGAGCAACAAAATCTAACCAGTACATGAATGAATAAACAGTCTCGCGATTGTCGTGTACATTTCAGAGTGAGCAGTTGCGTGTTAGGAAATCTCGAGCGATCATTCCTCTCACGTTGGCTCCGAGTGGCCGACAAAGGGAAGAGGGCTTGCATACCTTATTACCACCTTTCTAAATCCCTACTTATGTGAACACGACGCGGCTGTAGGAATGACAACTACGTGCGGGGAGTGATGGACTGCGTGTAATGATTTTTTCGTTCCGCACGTCCCTTTGTTGTAACGATTTGTTCGTAAAAGTTAAGGGTATTTATATTGGGTGGATGACACCCACCATTCAATTAGCTGATAGCTTTTTATGAGCCATCAAAATATTTTTTTTGCACAGCAACACGAATTTGTGATGCTATAATTTCGGCAACTCAATTCGCAAATTAATTATTATTGATTTCAAAGCAATTAAATCTGATTCACAAAAAACTACCCAATAAATTGGTTGTTCACCATTATAGCCTGTGCTTTAAAATATCAACTGCCCAAGGACTGGCAAAATTATTCACCACTTTTTAGCAATAAAAATGTAGAGAACCAAATTTTTATCGTTATTAATACAAGTCAGAATATTTTTTCAAAGAACCGAAAGAGCAACGCCTACCTTTCAAATCTTTAATGTAGGAAGAA